GCGGTAAGGGCCCACCGCGCGGAAGCCGGCGTTCACGGCTGCCCTCCGGGGAGCTGCAAACGGCCCCTTTTCTTCCCTTTTTCTTCCTCCTCTTACAGGGAAATTTTAAGTGGGCGTTAAGGAGTCCCCCAGTCAAGGGCAGGAGGCTGGGGACAGCCGCGGCGTCCCGTCCAGCTGCTGGGCTACGTCGTCCTTGAAACACGTGACTCATGCAGAGCTGGTTCCCCTCCAAAACAAAAAATAAATAAATGAACACCACCCGTTGCCTGGTTGGCTGCTGGGAAAGACAGCAGGCAAAAAGCTTGCTCCCCCTCCGGCCCGCGCAAACTCGTGCCCATGCGCTCGCTGGAGCAGAGCCAGCTGAGATATTGCCCAAGGGGCTGGCTCCGCTTCAAATACGCACCGGGCGGGAGGCACTAAAACAAGCGGCGCGAGAAACGTGCCGTGGGAAAGGGAGAGGGCGAAAAGGAAAAGGGGTGGGGGGGAACCCCCCCCCGAAAACAACGGAGGGTTTGTTTCCCGGCCAGCTGTTCTGAGGCTAACCCGGCTGGCAGGGAGCCAATTATCCCGACAGGAGAGTTGGACTTTCAGGTCCGTCCTGAGGACGCCTGCAGTCGCCCTTTTGCCCCAGCAGGGAGGCAGATGCTGACGCTGCTCCGGAAAGACGCAGGTGCTGCAGGGCAAACATCTCGGGATCCGCTCTGGCGAAGGGAAAAAGAAAAAAAAAATCCAGTGGGGAAGCGTGGGGTGGCACCTTCCGGTCCCTCCAACCTATTCTGAACCCCCATTTCATTCGATTCTCCTTTATGTCCTTTTGTTGTCCTGAGACGCTGATGAAAATGCTGCTGGAGGTGGCTGGTTTTGATACTGGACCAAACATGCGATGGGAGACGGGGGTACAGAGCCGAGTGCAGGTTGCATGACGTTCACGCGTGCTGAACTGCACAGGGCCTCAGCTGACGGCTTTACGGTTGCGGCAGAGGGTTCGTCCTGGTTTTGCCCGAGCAAAACGACTGTGCTTGTGAGGAGATGAGATTTCTGACACCCTTTTTCCGCGATAATCTCCCCTGCATTGGTTGCCGGGGTTGGACTTGGCACATGGACCGTTACTTTACGGCTCAATACCAGGTACGAAAGTAACCCGTCCGCGTCCGAGCCCTCTGTAGTTTCCTGGACCCCTCTAGGTGCCTGCACGACGCAATTAAACTAGAAGCGCTCAGCTCAAAACTTCTCTTCTAAACCTACGGATTACAGTTGAGTAATAAATTAGGAAGCTATTCAACCAGATGTGCTAAAGTGCCAGTAGACATCGAACAGTCTCATCCTCGGGATGTATTATGGTGGCTCTTGCTCAGGTGCTCCTGAAAGTCCTGTTTCATCTGGGAGAACTGGTGCAATCCCCAAGCAGCACCACGACCGCCCTTCTCTCCCCAGATCGTGTGCAGCTCCGTGCCAGGAAAGGGGCTGGGTGGGATTTTGGACCCTCCTATCCGGGCTCATCTTCTGGTGTTGGCATCTGCTCCACCAAGGGACATGGAGGGGGGAGGAGAAGAGGCTGCACGAGGCCACCATCTCCCCGACTTCCCCAGGAGCTCCCCTGCTGCTAGGCCCTGCCAGCATCCCCAGCCTTTCAAAGCAGACCCTTTCCAAAAAAGCACCTGCAAGTGCCCACCGGGGTTTTCATTCACAACTAAGCAAAGCTTTTACACAACACGGCCCACGCATGTTGCACGCTTTCCTGGGCTGACCACCTTCTGCCTGTCAGGGGGCTGCAGGCAACTGAATTCCCTTCCCTGAGTGGCATCAGACACCCGAGGGGGAGCGCTGCAGGATGGAGGCCCAGAGTGTGGGGGAGGATGAGGGACTGCAGGTGGAGGAGGCCCTGAAGACACAGCTCAGGTCCCTGGGAGGAGGACGGGTGTTAATGTTCCAGGTGGCCCTTTTTAGGTGGCAGGTTGCTAGGGGTCCGGGGAAGGCTGTAGCTGCAGCTGCTGCCTTGCAACCGCGAGGGCTGCAGGTGTGCTGGGTTTCCCTTTTGCCAGTGACTCACCAAGGCAGATAAAAGCCACAGTCCATATGCTCCTAAGGTTTTGCCTGGGGACTTTGGGCTGCTTTTTAGAGCAGAGCAGCTCTGAAGCCCTTCTCCTGCCCTGTGGCTTTGTGATGGTCACCAGCTGGCTTTGTTGGGTCTGGGATGCTAGGGAGGAAAGGTAAGACCTCTTTTCTTTGCTCTTTCTCTTAATGCTAGTGTCCATATTTGCAGGGCTAGAAAAGCCCCTTCTCTCCTGGTTCCTTGCTCTGTGTTGCTTATTTTGGGCTTTGGTGTTACCTCCTGCTAGGCTGGTGGTGAGCCCTCCTTCCCCTACATGAGGAGGACACATGGGGTCCAAGGGGTGATGCGATGTGTGGAGGAGGCAGCTGCTGCTGGCAGCCTGCTGTTGGGCAAGGGGGCTGCGAATGCCTCATTTGGTTGGGACAGGAGGGCTGTGGATGTACCCCTGCGCGCTAGGTGCACTTAGCTCTCCTGTTAAGGGTGTGTTTATTGCTAGCTTGAGCAATGTGAAGAGAGTGGGTTTTTAAGGAGAAGAGCAGCTAGCCCTCAGGGGAATCGGATGGCATTGGCCTCACTAAGAATCATGCTGAGGAGATGGAGCTGAGGATGGGTGGCCCTGGCTTGGGAAGCAGCTTGTTGCTTTGGCTCTGGAGCCTGGTTGACCGCGGTGAGCTCAGGGGGCTGTTGCCTGGGGTGGTCCCAGCTGGGCCCAGACCAGCGCTTGGGTAAGAGGCTTTCCATTGAGTTTCAGCTGGCCTGTCTGGCGACTTGCTGCAGGGCGCTGGCCATGGCGCTTCTGTTGGCTGAGCGGGAGCAGAGCTGGCTCTGCTGGGCCAGGCCTCTCTGGATGGCTCATCAATTTTTTTCAGGTGTTGAAACTTCTTTTTTAAAAAAAAAGAAAAAAATATTGCCTAAGGCAAATGTGTACTCGGGGAGCCTCGCCAGCACCTTTTGGGAGACGAAGCATCGGGAACGAGCCAGAGCTGCGGAGGCGGCTTGGCTTTGATAGCTCTGTGGAGGCCTTCGAGCGGTCGGTGCCCGGGCTCAGCGATGGGACCCCTCGCGGGCTTTGGCTGGAGGGATGCGTTGCCTTGGAAGAGGACAGCCCTGTGGGAGCACGCAAAGCTGAACAAGAGCCCTAAATTATTTAGGGATCTTGTGCAGCTTGTTATCTTAGATGTGTGTGTTTTTTTCAAATCTCAGCAAGAAATAACCCTCTTTTTTTTGGGGGGGGGGGGGCAGAATAGGAATGGCTTGCTGCCAGGTGGAAAAATAAAAGAAAGCTCTACGTGGCGCTGTGCTGATTTGCAAGGCTAGTGAGAAGACTTACATAAGGCGTTTTCAAATAGACTCCAATATTTTCAGTGCTGAAAGAGGACCAACTCTGCGACACCGTTTTGAAGCGCTGCTGTACAATGGGCCCTAGCTGAGCGCATTATAATTTGCTGCGAGAAGTTCCAAAGTCGCAGTACTTTCTGTAACGAGAAGAGAAGCCCTAATACGATGAGACTTTTTGTACTGTGCTTAATGAAAAGCTGAAAATGTGCTAATTTGTAAGCCCTGTTGTGGTAGTGGCATCGGAGGCTTTTGAAATGCATTACTGGCTTGGGGAAGTGTTAAGGGGAGGGGGAATGGCATTTTGCTACTAGCAGAAAAGTCAATTATAACGTTTCTGCGCTTTAGAAAATTGCTGATGCAGGATGGGAGTTAATAGAACAGTCAGCTTCACTTTGCATTACAGGATTTGGTGGGTTTTGCTGAGAAATGTCGGTGGGTATTTTTTCCTTTTCTTTTAATGGCAACTTAAACAATAAGCTGCAACAGGCACCGTGGGGCTAAGCCTAGTCTCTGGCCTGAGTGTGCTGGAGGGCCCGTTATGGGTGTATTTCCTTCCGTTGAGTCCCAAATTGGTGCATTACAGACTGCCCAGGATCAGTGCAAGGTGGTAAATTGCTGTAAATAAAAGATTTAGCAATCATTTTGCACTCGGGCGATTTTGTCCCTGGTGGTGGAGATGAGTGCCAAAGCACAGTCCTGGGCAGCTGGTTCCTGGTGCTTTGCAGAAGAGCCCCATCTATTTATTAGAAAGATGTTTAAATTGAGAAACTGAAAAATAACTGTCTTTACACACAATGCTCCTGATGGAGCATTTTTCAGCTCCTCCTTGAGAAAACAGTGGTAAATTTTTACTGAGCCCTTAGAGACTGGAGTAGGGAGAAGCTCTTGGAGATTTGCTGTAATTGCCTGAATCCTTCAGGGCTGGTGGTGAAAATCCTGGTGCAGGAGGCAGTGGCTTTCTGGAAGGCCCCAAGGTCCCCGTAGTCCTGGCTCCACATCAGCCTGTCCAGGCTATCAAGGAAAAAGAGTTCATGAGAAGTTGGCAGGGATCAGAGACAAGTGTTGGCATGGCTTTTAACAGGGGTTAGTGTCTGATTAAAGGGCTTTGGCCGCAGCAGCATAATCTGAGCCCTCGACTTAAGCCAGGGATCTAATAATACCCAAAGCGCATTGAGAAAGTATGACTTCATGGTGTGTCTGCCGCTTTTCACCTAGCGAGGGCTGTTTTAATACCTCCCTGCTGCAAGGGTGTAGCTGCTCTTGTAGAGCCTTCCCTGCACCCCGTGGTTTGCTAACGCGGTCTGCCAGTGGGGTTGCGTTTGGTCCAAAAGTTCAAGGTTGGATGGGATCCCGCAAGCTGCAATTTGGGGTCGGCATAGCCAAAAGCCTGTGTGGCTGGGTTGCTGCCTGTGCTAAGGTTTTTTGGCCCCCTCGCCTGGCATTTGGGCTTTTCCCCAGACTGGGGGCAGCACTGTTGGAGCAGGGTGCTCCTTTGGAGAGGTGAAGGTGAGGTCATGGCTGAGCATCATCTGTCTGTTCATCCAGCTGTGGCTTGTCCCATCTCTCCTGGCTTTCCGGGTGTGCAGGGTGATGAGTTGCGGCTGTTGCCCTTGGCATCCCACGGGAGCAAAGTTTTGCTGCTGAAGGATGCTTGGCCCATCCTGCGGCTGTGGGAGAGGAGCTTGCAGGTGATGAAACCCAAAAGCTCTGCATCTTGGTGAGAAAACCTCTAATTGTGCTGTTGCCATTGGCAGCCTGCCTTAAAGAGGCTTTTTGCATAGCATCCCTCTGTGCTGTAGATCTTCAGAGGAAAAAATTGCTTCGTAGACTCGGGCTAACATTTTTGGAGATTGCTGCTGAAATTGAAGATGCAGGCACTGGCAGAGATGCTGCCTGGGGCTGCCAAGGGACCTGAGTCAGGCCAGCATCTGCCCATGGTGTGGCTGGGAGAGCTGCATGGGAGTGATGGCTGGTGGGTAACTCATTTTCGTGGGAATAAATTAAACGGATATTATGCCTGAAAAGTGATATTGTTACGCCCAAGGGCGGTACTGCTGCTGCTCTATCCTTCTGGTAGAAGGATAGCTGGTGCACAGCTCGCAAGGGAATGTGGTCCCAGCATGATGAGAACTGCAGCACCAGTTTTTTTCCTTACTGACCAGACGGTCATGTACTTGTGCACCAGCTTTGCGATGGTTTTTGACAGGAGCAAGGTTTCCTTATGGACTTGCCAGCCTGGAGAGTGACCTCCCTGCATTTGCCCTCCTGCTTGAGGCCTTATGATGCAAGGCTCTGCTTGCTTTTGGTTTCTTGTGCGGCGTGGCAAACTGCTCGTGTTTCTGAATGGGCTGACCGACGATGTTTAAATCTGTTTGTGGACATCTCATCTGAGGCAGTGTATTGTTTACTGCAAACATGGAAAAACTGGTGATTATGGCACTCGTCCTGCTGAGACCTCCAAAACGGGACTGAGGCTGAGCCTTGCAGCAAGGGATTAGTTAACTTCTTTCCTACCTGGGTAAGCTGGAGCAGAGCTTGTCTGTAGTTTGAGTTTTTGGGCTGGGTGGTTTGTCTAATGTGCAGGCGATGGCGATTTGGGATTACTGGTATCAAAGATTTTTCCGGACCTCTGCTGAGGTCTGGACTGGCTGTCCTTGCCTGGTCCCCCAGCACCAGCTTAGCTCGTCTGCAAAGGTCTCTCTGCTCACTCCCAAGCCCCAGCACTGACTTTTGGGCTCCTACTCCAAGCCACAGGATTGCACCTGGCCTTGGAGGCTATGTTTAAAGCACATTAAAACCCACAGGGCCAGGGTGTGCCAAGACTTTATTGTCTCTGGGAGAATGAAATCATATTTTGCTCCCTCTTTCCTGATGCTGGGAGCCTGAGCGCTTTGAGCGAGGGGTGGTTCTGCTGGATGGGGTGAAAGAGGGAAGATGAGGAGTGAGTGTGAACACTTTTCGAAAGTCATGTCATATGTAGTTCTCCTGGGTTTGTAGGAAGCAATTAAGCCAATTAATTTATTGGTAAATTATCTTATGATGAAGTACAAAATAACTGCAATGAAATGCTGACATTCACATTAATATCAAATTAGTTACTGTATTATGACTGTTCTTACAATGAATGCCCAGTAATTTAATAGTAATGGGACATTTAAATAATTTAGCCGATAATTCTCTAGATCACTTACATATATAAATGAGTGTGACAGCTTCTCTTCTCAACTTTGCTGGTGCTGCTGGACTGCCACCAGCAGTGGGAGGTGAACCAGCCTGGCACCCTCTCTGTCACAGCAGCGGGTCCAAGTGCTGAGCTCCCGCAGGTGTTCTCCTTCCCCAGATCTTGGTGTTTTGGATGTGCTCCCAAATAGCTGTGCTGTTAGTGTTGTGGGTTTTTTTTCCCCTGAGACCCAGGCCTGGCAGAACACCTCTAGCGGTGGTGCTTGTGCGAGTGCTATTAGCCTCACAGTGGGACGGATGTTAGAGATCCAGCCAGGGCCACTTAATTGAATAGTTCAGCCATTGACACTGAAATTACTGTGTGCTGGCTCTGCTTGATGCAACAGCCTCATTTCCAAGCAGTTGCACTTTCTGTAATAATAATTATAAATAGCATTAAAATTGCTCCTTGTTCTCTCCCCCTGCAAAAGGACTATGAAGGAGTGCTAGAGCTTGGCAGCTACCTGCAGCAGAATTTGTCTGCTTTCTGCCATTTTAGGTCTGTGAATCAGTTGGCTGTCTTGTCCCCCCCCTGCCCTGCACCTATGAAGCTGTGAATATACCAGCTGTGGCTTCCAAATCCCTAAAAAAGAAGAAAAGCTTTGCAATTTGTGCAGCTCACCATTGCAAGCTAAACCTAGAGGGTAAATCGCTCCAGTGTTTTGGGTTTTTTTTGCATAAGCTGGTGAATGCTGGAGGAAAACTGCAGGTTTCTGCTCAAAGTGCACCTGGGAAGGGGCTAGGTCGATGCAATAGTCTTGCACCCTGTCTGCATAGTGTTGGAACGATGCCTCCCCCCCACCCCTCCCCGAGATGCACATTGTCAGTCAGTGTGCTACTGTGCTGCTGAGATTGGATTGAACCTGCTGACATTATTTAATGGTCTTGCTTACATCCAACTGAAATGTCGTCTTTTCATCACATCATATTCTGCTGTCAAACCTGTTGCAGAGAGGAGTAGTCCTCTGTCTGCAAGACTGAGGATAGAATTACTCAGATTAGTTTTCTTGCAGATGAGAGAGGCTATGAGGTTTTTAGCGCAAACCCTGCTGTCTCCTTTGACAGCCTGGCTCTTCTCACTAAGGAAAGCTGAAGAGTTCCTGTTTTAATTTGGAGCTGCCAAAATTGTGAAACCAGCTGCCTGCTTGCAACTGTCTGCAAAAAAAGAATAAAGGGAAGCCAAATTTTGTAGCCGCTCTGTTGTGAGCAATAGTATCCAGGGCCAGGCAGCTCCTACTTGCAGGATCTCCTTGTGCAGCTCATGATGAGGCTCCAGCACCCTGATTACTGCTGGAGCCTGGGCGAAAGGACTTGCATGCACAAAGAGAGGGTCTGATTTTTTTTTTTTTTTTTGCAGAGAGGAGATCCAGGAAGCATCTGCTCTCCCCCAATTTAGACCCCCTTGGCAGGCCTGGAGGTGCTGCCTCAAAGGCGAAAATCCTGGCTGAGCCCTGAACTAGGCAGCCAAAAGTAGCTGGTCAAAGAGGACTACAAGAGGCCTGTGTTGAGGTGGCTCTATCCCATGTGCTGTGTTAGTGTCTCAGCCTATTCTTCCCTTCCTTCAGGGAGAGGAAAAATGCACTTGATTAACTGGTTCCCTGTGCTGTGCTCAATGATATGATTACTTAAACTGTTTTCTGTACAGTGAGTTGCCTATAGGAATCTTTCTGGGCTTCTGTTCAGGCTTTGCCTTTTCCAGGAGCACCTTTTTCCAGTTGTTTCCCCTTTATAAGGAGGAGAGGCTGCCTTTTTAAGGCCCTCAGTCCAACCCCCTTCCCACTGTGCGTTGTTAGTGCAGCTTCTCAAGCAAATGTTTGGGTGGGCTTTTCTCTCTGCAGCATTTGTCCTACAACACGTTTTCTATGAGTTGTTTGCCACCGTGCTTTTTGACAAAGCTACTCTAGCCCAGGAAACTGGGGCGGTAAGAGGTGGAGGTTCAGAGCACAAAGATGCAGAAACGCTGGAAATGTGATCATTCCTTTTTACCTGGAAGACCTCTTAATAAGCAGAGAGCAGAAGCTCTGTGCTCCAGGATTATGCTAGTAGTGAGTTGAATCTGGCAGAGTGTGTGCTTTTTAAGGAGAGTTTCTTGCTGAAATAAATGAGTACAGCCTAAAAGTTGATGATGTTACAGTCCTGAGTAATGAGCCCCTCTGCCCCCAAAAAATCTCTCAGAATAATGCTTCAGCAAGTCAGTGGTCATTAACTCTTTATCCTCTGAGCACTATGTGTCATAAACATCTCATTCTACTTCGTAACTTTTGAAAAATACAGTAAGAAATGAAAAAATTTTCCTGAAATAGCTATAATTTGGGGTACATTCCTCTAAAGCATCGCCCCTGTTCCAGTGAAGTGGAGCTGTGACTGACTATTGCCAGATGAAAAATTCTTGAGGAAGTTACTTTTTTTTCTTTCCTTCTTTCTTTTTTTTCCCTTTTGCTGCTCCTTTGCCACCTTCTTTTCCTGCTTCCTTGCTCTCTGCCAGTGCTTTGATTCTTGCTTTACCCAGTGGTGTCCGGTCATACCAAGCCTGGAGAATTGAAAAGCATGTCTGTTTTTAAAAATACTTAAAAAAAAAAAAAAAAAAAACATGGCAGAACATTTAAGGAACTCTGTACTAATACAACGGAGCATTCCTTACGAAAATCTTAAAATCCTGGCTGGCTTGCGGAGGAGCAGAAATGAAATCCTCCGATCTCTTGAGAACATTATTGTAACAAAAAGTATAACAATTGCTTGCTTGAAGTGTGCCTCATTAAGATGAACGCTTAGCTTAGACAATTTGTGTTGCTATAGCTATGGAAATGTTAAAACTTCTATGATCAGTCCTATTTCTGAGGTATATAGCTCTTGTCAAAACTCCCTCTGGTCTGAAGTCTGGCAACAGACAAAGCGTATTCTTCCCAGGGTTCTGCAGATCAATCCAGACATTTATTTCAGTGTGAGAACTTAAAGAAATAAAACAAACCCCAAACATTAAGAACCTGTTTATTGCTTTCACATGCCTGTTCACAGCACTGACTTGTAAATGATTTTGGTACAGTCACTTGGCAAACTTGCCAAGCTTCTGGGCTGTAATGTCAGCAAGGCAGTTCTAGGCCATGTTAAAATAATGTAAAATGAAGCAGTGGGTAGTGGTTCAAAACTAGTAATGTGTAAGAACCAGTCTTTCCCCACAGCTATGTACAGAAACCTGTATTGACAATGTCCTGCCTCCACTGGAGTTTAAAATACGACTGGGTGTTGACATGTTTGATAAAATGCCTTTCCTTTCTCTTTGCTGTATTCATCCATGTGCTACCTCAGGAAAAAATATCTTTCCTCTTAGTCACCCTCTGACCACAAGCCACTATTTAATGCCACTAAAATCTTCTCTGCCTATTATTTTGGCCCCTGTCCTCTCCAAGCTTCCTACCAAGGCAGCATCCTGCAAAGTCAGTCTTTCCCAAATGCTCCATCCAAGATGCTTGTGTGGTAAGGTTACCCTGAGAAGTTTGCCTTGTCCAGTTTGCTGGTATGGTGGGGTTAATGAAGCCACCTCCTCAGATGTAGTTCAAAGAAAAGGCCATGTTTATCGTTAATCCACCCACACCCAAACTGTGGTTGTTGTAAGACAGTAAGTGACTGGCTCTGGAGTTAAATATCCTCCCCTGTTGGAAGAATGCCCTCCGCATCTCTTTGGTACGGCTCTTGTCTTTCAAGTATGTTGTACCAGTCACTGCCAGACAGAACTAGTGTGCTAGCTGGAGTGCCCTTTGTCCCTCCAGCACTAGCATTATTTCTATTTAAGGATTTATATCAATCATACTGGTGCAATAATTTAGAAGTTTGAAAAAGTGGACGTATAATTGGGGCAGAAATTTGAGTAAATTGAATGGAAGAAATCACATTATCACAAATTCTGCATTATTTATATCCATTTTGGAACCCTGGCAGAATATAAATGTCAAACAGGGAGATTCATGCTTCCAGTGAATAGAAAGCAAAGATTCATCATAGTGCTAATCTTCGCTTTGAGTCCTGCTTTTAGTTTTGGTGACTTCCTTTCGAAAAGGACAAAGCAAAGCAACAGAAAAGGTCCAGCAATGACAACGATTAGAGGCTCAAGGAGGGGGGCTTCCATGTGAGAAGAGATGAAGAGACTGGAGTTAATTAATGTAAAAGGCCATTTTGACAATCCTTTCCCCCTATTCCATAATACAGGTGCTGAGGCTAGTTTCCATGATGTTCAAGAGAAACAATTTTAAATGGATAAAAGGAAAACCTTTTCAAAGGGCTGTAATTAATGCATGCAAATGATTGCCATGGGATATTGAGGATAGTATCATTTTCGCAATGCTCAGAATGAAGTGCTAGCTGTACAAAACAGGCCCATTTAAAAGAAGTTGGAAGGAATAACAGTTGCAAGTTAAACTTGCACCAAATACTAGCTCCGGTTTCAGGGTACAAACAGATTACTACTGGGAGCTGGGAATGATGAGAGAGTTTGTCTCTGCTGCAACAGTGAACCATTAGCCATTCCCTGAGGAAAGACACTGGTTTAGATAGGAAGCGTGAGGAAAAATAATTTGCCAAATATCACAAATGTTGCCTGTGCTGAGTGAGCCAAATGGCTCTAAATGGTAATTGGAAAGCATTCAGTAGGGCTGGGAGAAATGTATGTGCTATCATTAGGTTAGCGGTGGAAGAAGACTTGGACAAAGTTGCTAGAAGCTATGTTCTGTTTGTTGTGCAAGGCGCCATGGGGATTCAAAGCCAGAGGGTATTCAAAGAGCAGAACAAAACGGAAACCTTTGAGCCAGGAGAACTTGACTGTTTTAAGTGCTTGTGTAGATGTCTGGGGGGTGGCGGTGGTAGAGGAGAAAACTTTTTCGGGGTCTATAGCTTCAGTATAAAAGTCATGCCCTGCTTGGGGCCCCTGGTGCGGGCTGATTTTTGGCTCTCCTTAGTGCATAGCAAGGCTGCCCGCCTGTTCAGTGGCGAAGGCTGCGCCAGTGTTCAGTAACCTCAAAGAGCCTGAGTGGAGCATTGTGTGGGTTTTTGCCGTGTCAGTGTTGATGAGCTGTGCTGGTTGTATCCAAATGAGCCAGTTCAAGCCTAGTTCAGCTGTCCCTAAGCTATGCTGAACTCAGTATAGCAAATAAATTGTAGACCTGTACTTAAGCCTGGTAAACTTTTCCCATTGCTAGCAAAGCCAAAAGCAATACAGTGAAAGCAGAATTAACCACTGCATAAAAAACAATCCTGGTCCATGGAAAGAAAGAATAATTATGTTACTGAGCTACATGTGCAAAAAGTAGCTGTTTGCAGAATGATCCATGTGCATTTGAGGCACATATAGAGCACCAGGTTTTGCTCCAAGGACTTTATGGCCCTGGACTGGGGGGGAAGGGTTTGAGGCAGAAATAAGTTTGTTTTTTTTAATCCAAAACCTGAAAGCTTTATCACAGAAAATTCTTGTTTAAAATAGTTCTTAGAACTGAATTCCTATCTGAAACACCTTCTTGAAGACCCTAGCAGTCTGTTTTCTGCCCTCCCAAGCAAATATAGACAGGCTTGCCGAACATGGCAGCTCCAAAAGAAAGAGGACCAACGCACTGTACCAATGGCATATACGTTGTTTACCTGGGTGCGTGGAAGCCACACTGTGGTCTAGGTGAGCTGGGAGTGAAGCGCTGTGCCAGGTGGGTTGCCTGTGCAGACTTACTGCCTGGAATAAAGGCCATTGGCCTGGTGCTTCCAGCTGCCTGGCAGTCTGGCCTGCCAAACATCTCGAAGTGTGGGAGCTGGGTGGTCAATGCCTTTAAGCAATAGATCACCATTGAAACAGCAGGGTTAGCAGGTCTCCAGATCAAATGCACCTGGACAAGGCTAAGGTAGGGGACCATGGAAGGCAGTCAGTTGACATAGCTCATAACATCACCTTAAATGTTTCTTCCTCTTTGTACACGGGATTCTGACTGGTCAGAGAAGTCATGAACTCAACAGCTGCTAGTGGCCTCTTAGTCATCTGCTGGATGCGTTCTTCACTCAGGACGGTTTGCACTGCCTGGAGGATGTGTCCCTGGGTGAAACCATCGGATAACTTTGCTAGGCAGCTTAGGTTCAGCAATTTGGTGATGATTCCTTCATTCTGCAGGATGAAGTGTTTCCATAAGACTGTTCATTAAGACCCAGAAAAGGAGAGAATGACAAAGACATGCATTAAGGAAAGCAGGATAAATGTTTTGCATCTTGATACTGAAAAGGGAAAACGGGGCACCAGTCAGCAAAGCTAAGGTTCAAATGTCTCATATTTGCTGTGTTTCTTTCATCTATAGACTTGCAGCATAAGGGCTCTTAGGCACATCTGTTCTTAAACCACTAGTGATCCATTGCTGGCTACTTTTGGAAAGTCATTAAGGGCACAAAAGGTGAGGTGGGTATGTGTATAAAATGGAAAGAAATACTTAAATGTGCTTGTGTGTATACATGGAGAGAGAGCTTGTCTAAAATTTTCCCATTTGGATGCGTAGAGCTAAGTACCTACATTAACAACCTGTTTTTATTTTGGTGACCCTGACCACAGGCTACTTCTGAACTGAAGGCTGGGGACTTGATTTCTGGCTAAGAAGCCAAAGGCCTCTAGCTATACAGGTGCATGTTACAAATGCCAGGTGTAAGTTTCTGTGTGATTGGTGTTTTGCTTGTTAATTGGTGAACCTGTTTGCATCTTAAGTGCAAACCTCTGTGACATGGAGGTTTTAATGTTTGGCAAGTACCTGGGATTTTGCTCCCCCAAATAAATAGGATTACTAATGTTTTTGTTGTTTTACCATCTGTAAAAAGGAGTGGCTCTGCCTCAGAAACGTAGTAAAACTTTCATGCTATATCATCATGCTTTCCTTTAAAGCCCTGCATGAAAAATGAAACACTTGGACAAAGGAGGAAGAGCTATTGCATAGAGAGATTAAAAAGGTTGCTGAGTTTGTGGTTTGAGTGTCTTGTATTTAACACTCGTATGTAGTACAGAAATGTGCCGTGGGGGGTTAATGTTGCTAGATATTGGGGCGTGTAATGGAGAAAGCCTGCTTTACTTTTCCTTTAGTAGTAATGCAGATACTATGGACTTGTACCCATAACTTGACAACTCTGTACTATGTTTTTTTTAACTCAAGCAAATTGGGATCTTCCACTTGATTTGTAACTGTGCTCAATAACTATTGTCTGAATCGCTGATTCTTAATAGCGAAATGGATGTGCACAACAGTCAACGCTTCTGCATGGCTTGACCTCGTGTGCTGCAGCTTCTGGTACAGTAGGGTCATGCATAAGAGGAAATTCTGCCCCACTGGCTGATTAATAGGAAACTAGAATAAGACAGTGAATCTTCCAAATCAATGATCTTCACTGTATGTTTGCTGTTCCCACGCTGTGTGGAATGGAACATATTGGTTTGTAGCAAAATGGAGGGCTGTAGTGAACAGGTAAAGCTTGAGTGCTGTGGCTGTGAATGTTTGCTTCATGGCTTTTCTGTCAAAATAGGCTTCTTAAGTTCTCAAATTGAGTGTTCGGCCCTGAAAATTGTCATGAGCAGATGAGTGCCCTGTATTGGAACAATCATATTTCCATCATACTTCAAGGGAAGGTCTGAGCTAAAGGACAAGCCAGGCACTTGCTGTCTTGAATGGGACAATGTCAAAGAGCTGAAACTACAAGTTTAATCTGCTTAAGAGCCAACTTTTTGGGGCATTCTGATGTTTAATAACTGACCCTTTGTTTTTAGCTCCAAATTAGTGCTCAGAGTCCCAGAATGTTGATGGTTCAGTCCCCAGGAATGAACATAGCTAAATTCAATTGCTATCACCTCCTTTCTCTAGGTCTTACTTATGTCCCTTATCTGTTAGCAATTTATCAGAGCTGTAACATAACATGAAACACATGTTAGCTTGCTCAGAGACCATTTCCCATCTACACTAGGAAAATTTTTGAATGTGGAAGAGATTTACAATGTGCTAGGCAGTCAAAACCTGTCCTGAGCTTGCCTCAACATGCATCATCTCAATACCTTGGCTGCCTCCTTGAAAGGCAGTACAAAACTGGACTTTACAATGCATTTGCATGATTTTGTAATAAGGTGGATACATGGACTGATATTGTCTGCTTTACTCGAGGTACAATTGTGCAGTGAGTTCCCTGTACTGAATGTAGTTTAACTGTTTTCTAAAACAGCCTTTCTGCTACAAAACTCATTGCACCCAGGCTTCCAAGCACCCAGAAAAAAGCATTAACAAAATGATATGATCAGGAACAAAATTTTTCATGCTTTTTGGAATAAAAACTCTTCTACCAGGCACTTAAAAAGGACTTGGCCAGACTATCATTTTCCTTGCAGTAACTCATTCACATTAAGCTTTAAGCTTGGAGCTTTTTTTTTTTCCCCCTAGTCAGTGCATAGCTAATGCAGACTTCAAGCTGATTCAAATCTCAAGACGAACTTGTATGTTAGAAAGTTTGTCCTTTTTTCCAGCCATATATGTTGGCCTAATAAAAGATATGGTTCTCCTTATAAGCTTTGCCTGTCAGAATATCTGACGCTCAGCAAATCTGTCAGACTTTGCGTGGGCCTGTCTATCATTGCAAACGTTCGATAGAACAGACAGGCAAAATCTTGGATGCCTCTGTGATTTCCTTTATGATCAGTAAGTGCAAACATGGCATTTAAGAGTGACAAAACTCAGTCTTCCAGACACAGTTCAGTTTATGGAAAGGCCCTAAAATGTATTGTTAGGGTTCTGGAAACTGGCTATGTGTAATTGAGATTCCCTGTTTAAAAAAAAAGTTTAAAATGGAAAATGTGCACTGAAATAGGATCTTATTCATACAGTGAAAAAAGTTTGAGCCTAATTCAGCATAAACTCAGGAAGAAATGTTAGCTGCTGCAGAACAATATCATCCCCTTCTCCCCACTCCCACTTTATTTGATCTTCGGGGGATACTGTATCAGTATTAACTAAATTTTCAGGAACTGAGATATAGCTGGGGTACGAATGGAGTTTAAGATCAGTTCTGAGAATAACCACATAATGAGCTTGGATCTTAAGCACTAGTAATGACTGGGATGACTTGAAATACTTGCCAAATCTTGAAGCATAGTCAGGCCTAGGAATCAGAATGATTTTTTGGTAGACTTTGCAGAAAGGGCTGAGGTTAGCATCAAAGGGACGTCTGGTGGTTCCCACTAGCAGCACTCTGTCCTCTGCTCTCAAAACCTTGAGGAATTTGGGGAGAATTTTTTCCAGTCGTTTTGGATTCATCTTCAGGGCATACATGTAAATACAAGGAGGAAAGCTATTATCAGTGCTGACAGTTCAGAGTTAATGAGGTGAAGTAACTCTAGACGTGAGTAACTCCTAGTGGATGCTATATAGAAGAGGATTTTGTGCTCTTTTTTCAGTAGTCTATTTGCATTTAGTATAAACGGGCTAGATGCTCAACCAAAGTGGAAGGCTGTTGTCTTCTGCAAGTCAGGCTAGCTCTTGATTTCTGCTATGCATTTGTGGGTTTGGGTGCTAGTGTCTTAGTATTGCATCTGCTGGTCCTGATACTGAACAGCAGGAAGGAAGTCACGATTCATTTAAAGAAGGAAATCCGATTTCCAGCTCGGAGAAATATTGCTTGGACCTGTGTACCTGAAGAATTTTATCAGATAGAAAAACTGCTGGGGTATGTAACCTTGTCTGTAATTCTCACAGCTCTTGGAGATTATGATCTACTAACTCCTACCTGTGTTTTAAATATGAAAATAGGCTCCCTGATTTCTGCTGTGATTTCAGCTTGCTGAGGCTTTAATCTGAACTGAGGATTCAGTTCTTTCCAATAGTTTATCATTTCACTTTATTGTAGGAACCATTTACAGAACAGATGAACATCATGCAAAACCTGTTACTGGATAGTTAGGCTTGGTAATGCTCAAGTGAATATTGGTTAGAGAGCGTTAGCCAAACTGCTGTAGTGTTGTGCCACTGTTAAAGCCATAACTGAATAACAGGGTTAGGATAGGGTATAGTATTCAGAAGAGTTTAATGACTTGAAAGCCTTTTCAGGTATGATCGAGACTAAACATCCAAGTCACCCATGCTCCGTTGAACACCTTACTCTAGGTCACCTGTGATTTTGCCTGTATAGAAGGCAGCTGCCTGAAAAACTTCAGCTTGAGATTTGAAGCAGGCCTTCCTTAATGCCAAAAAAGAAACTGTTCTGCAAACCTTCTCAATTACAAGGTAATAATACATACCTGTACATTACATGTCCAATTTTTGTGATCCAATTTTGGCCTGTTGCCTGCAGTAGCAGACAACTGACAGAAAGGAGAGAAAAAGCTCTGCTCTTTGCAATGAAAGCTACTAAGAAGGGACAACTGGGAAATCAAAAATCCCCAAAGTCTTGGGGTAGAGAGTTGCCCAGTTACTTTCTAGCTAAATTTGTCTTAATTACAATAAGTTGGGCTTCTCGTTCTTTCTATTTTCAAGGTCATACTGAGCATCTTCAAGATTGCCAGTTGCCTAATTATGATAGTACAGAGTTCAGTGTGTCTTGGCATCAGGGCTGAGTTCCCTCTTCAGAGCATGGGCATGTTGCTTGCCAGGACAAAAACATCCTGCTCATGCTTGCTCTTGGATGAACTGTTCCTGTGACCATGGGCCACTGCCAGCTGCTCTTTTCTCATCGCCTCCTTGTTCTTGTGCACCCGTCGCTCCCAGGAGAGCGGGATCTCTGTGCAGGGTGCTCTGTACGCACAGCCAGTGGGCTTACTCCGGGGCAGAGAAGAAATCTTGGTGGTTTTCATGCCCAGAAAGAAAGGAAGTGGCTCTGTCCACCCTCAAACAGCATGGGCTCCTTTGCTGTCTGAAAGCATGACTTCAAATTGCAAGCTCCCAAGTTCTTATCTGAGCTTTGCCTCTGCCTTGTTAAGTAGTTTTTTGGTAACGAGCTTGACTTCTCCAGACCAGACTGTATTAAACAAGCTGTTTTTACAAATATGCCTTTGGAATAGTAACTAGCCCTGCCACCTTTGCTCAGTCAGGGAGTTCTGGTCGCAGCAATGAGAGAAATGTGTTTTTTGTTTCTAATGCCTTTTACGTTGGCTGAATTACTTTTCATGATTTATATACATGTTGTTGCTCATATATGTTGAGCTTCCTGCCTCTTTATGTATTGGAAGGAAGCACAAATGTTTTCTAAGGTGTCTTGTAGATCAAGCTTTGTTAAAGAAGTGAGAGAACGATCAGATTGTGTTAGGTTTCTAGGGAGAAGTGGAGTCCCATCTCTTTTTAAAAAAAAAAAAAAGCAGATAAGAGTTACTCCAGGAGAGGCAGGTTAGTTTTCCAAACCCGCAGTATGTCTCCTGCTGGAAAAATTCACTCTAGGAGATGCAAAGTTTTTCTATTAAAAAAAAAATCAGTTGTTTGATTCCTGTTTCAACCCTTACTTGTGAAAATAAGTCTTAATTTATCCCCTGCATTTGGAACATCCATATTCTAGTGACAAATGATATCCATGGATTTCCACTGACCCTACAGCTGGTTATAAGAAGTGCTCATTGCTCAGCCTGTAGGAATCTTATTTCTAAATTTTAAATGACTGTATCTGTACCGGAGACAAGCTAAATGCTCTGCTCCCTCGTTAAGCCTACTAAGCCAGACTGGCATTTGTGTGTCAGCAGCTCCTCTTATGCTTTTGAAAATGTGCGTCCACAGTGCACGCATTTCAGGGATATGTCCTGAAAGCTAATAATATCACCTCTACTTTGAAAGAAATGTCAGTAGCAAGAGGGGCTGTTAAAGAGGCAAGCTAGGATTTCAGCTGTCATGTGGATCTGAGCTGGAGAAAAACGGGGCGAATTGTGAAGGTGACCCGTATTTGTTTAAAAATGTGAGTGGCTGAACTGCTTGCACAGCACCCTTGGCAACTGGATTACCATAACAGATTTAATATTTGCCTGCTCGGTGTCCTTCAGGGAGAATTAGAGAGACCATTTTTCTAGTGGGCCTTTCAAGGCTTTTTATCACATCCTCAGCCATGGGGCCAGAAATGTCACCCTGGGATGAGTGAGGTGACTTCCATTTGCTTGGGCTTCTCCTGAGGGCTGAATTTACCTTCCTCGGAGTGCTCCTAATGAAGGCTCCCTGACTGCCACTTAAAACTACTGTCCTTCTCGTTTTCTGTTTTCTGGCTCTGAATATTGGCTGTGTTATGAGCTTTGTGGGACACGAGTGGTTTCAACCTTGGAGCTGTGCGCTCCCAGCAGGACCTTGTGATCCCTTCCATTAAATACCTGCAGGTCTCAGGATGCAATAGCGGGGACAGAGGTTTCTTCTGGGTTTTAGGAGGGGGTGGGGCTGAGTTACAACTTGCTGGTTGCTATCAAAGCAAATGAAGACCGTGATTATTTCCGGCTGTTTTTGGCTCACGGTCTTATTTTTTTCTCCCTGGTGGTAGTTGCAGTTAAGGTTTGAGCCCAAGAAAACTGCTTGCTTGCAGTGTCTGGACCACTAGAGGGCAACAATCACTGCGCACCCTTCTCAAATAACCTTTAAAGAAGCAACAGCCTAATCCAAGGTGATGTTTCATTGGTCTCCCCAAAAAGTCCATATCCATCTCTCAGTCTAAACACTAGACTTGAGAGCAAAGGTTTAATTTTTCATAGGGAGCTCTACAGAAGAGAGATTTTGCAAGCAGCCTGAACTTAATCAGGATTTAAAGGGAACTGCTCTCTGCTGTGGTGGGATGAGTTGCAGTTGTGCTGTGCCTACTGGGCAGTGCTTTAATTTCCTTTCTAGTGGAGAAGCTACAAAAGAGACGAAGGAATGGAAGCAATGGAATTAGGACTCCTGGGAGCCTAAAGAAAATCTGTAAACATAACTATTTAACATAGACTCTTTGTTTTCATGGTGGAAATTTATCCTTTTTACTTTATTCATTTTGGCTCCATCCAATTTCTCAAATTAACAGAGCTGAACAATTTAAGCTCCTCTTAACTTTTAGTTTCTTGCCTCCTATTTTGAAATTCTCCATTATTCTCTCCTACTTTCAGTGCACTGATGAGCAGTGACTGGACTATTTTTAAATAAAGCAAGGATAAATGTGTAAGAGAAATGTGACTTAAGAGCCCCAAGAGGTCACAAGACTCTTAAAGTTAGTGAGACAAGCTATTATCAAGCAAGCTTTGGCAGGTCTGGTCATACTGGTATGTGCTAAACTAAGAAATACGCCTGTTCCTTTGTGTCAGTTCTAATGCAGCATGAGAAATTATCTGTGCCAGAATAAAAACGAAGCAACTCACCTTTTCTTCAGCCTTCGGCACTTTGTAAAATGTCTTTTCTGCATCTCCAATCCACACGACTGAAGGCTGCAGTTTTTTAGCCACCTAAGAGAAAGCAGAATGCAGGAAGTTGATTAAAATGGCTACAATTTCATACCTGGGTGCCTATAATTATGCTTTTGAATCTGTATTTCAGCAGTTAAAATTATCCTGGTTTGTTTGTTTAATTTTTTTTACAGAAATGCTCAGCATTCGTGGAAAGCATTGGCTCTGCTCAGCAGTCTTGGCAAATCAAGCCACTTCTACCTAGGAATGTAACATTAGGAACCTAACCTAAATTGGATCATTTTGACTCCTATGTTTATCTCGCAATTCCCAACCCCAATTCAGTTGCAGTCCTGCGAAAGGAAGTCTGGCCTTAGAGTTCGATGGCAAATGACAGACTGCTGGCAATTTCAGACTGGATGCCTGTAAGAACCCCACCCCAGTTTTCTGAGGTCAAAACAGCCAGGGAGACAGGCAAGACAGGGCTACCGCATGAGCAATTACAGTACAAATTTTTAGGCTTACGCTCAATGTTCTGGTTTACAAAATAGCATATAATTTGCTATGAATCTTGAGTTAACTCAAGAATTAAAACAGAGCCTGTTTGATTTAGTGTGTGTGGGGCGGAGGGGTGTCTATTACAGATGGGCTTTCCTGCTCCAAAGTTGGAGGCACTATACCTCTGGTTCACAGCAGGATGGCAGCAATGCTACAGGCTTTTTCACATCTTGACTCTCCCTATTGCTATAGAAACGCCAGTGGTTTAGACATTCTGCTGCCAAATTTTAATCACTTTCCAGTTGCTCTCATAGCTGTGCTACTTTGCTCAGCAACAGAAGTGATGGCTTGAGGAGTCGATGGGTAATGATAGTGCATTCTTCTGGCCTGCTTTTTTTCCCCTCCAATTGAAGCTGCTGCTTTCAGGAAGGAAGCTCGCAATATTGATAGGTTGTATACATCATAAGCTTAAGATCTGACTGACAGCCAATGCAAGAATTAAAAGTAATGACCATCTCTTGCAAGCCTTGCAGTTCAGTTTTATGGAAGCATTTCAAAAGCACCAAGAATGTGTGTATACGCAGTAAGAACGGATTGAAGCTAGGGGAAAGGAACAGTAGGTGGGGGCTGTTCAACTTGTTTGCTCTCCTCTGCTGCTGATGGGGTGAAGTGGAACACTGCCATCTTTGGCATGTGATACTTTATTTGTGGTAACCTGTCAGTTCTCCAATATGTCAAGCGGTACCTCCAAGTCATGAACTGTTTCATCAAGGGAAATGGGGTTCCTTCCTCTGGAAGGCAGGAACTCAGTTTACTGAGTTAACTATGAGGATTAAAAAAACCCTGCAGAATATCGTGAAGGATATTATGAAAACTCTATGAAAACGGAGGTATGGACAAAGACAGTTATGTTTACCTGCATGTGTAATTTGAGGGGTAACACCTCAGTCCAGCAGTGCATTGAGTGTAAGCTGGAATGAAATGAGAAACAAAAACTGTACAGCAATAATATCTGCCATTTTAAGGCCAGATGCTTTGGATCTAGTTCCTGTTCTCGTATGGTTTGCATATTCCTAAATCTGCATGTGCTCTACCACGTACACTTGAGAGTGCAGCTCTGTTTTTCACAGAACTGAACAGGGCAGCAGCCTGAGACTCGGGGCTTTTCTGCTGAGTATCCTGTTATCCAAGGGCTCTGACACCTGCAGAAAATGCAAGTCACTCCTAGAACTGCACTTGCAGGTGAATTCAGTCAGCTCCTAGCTGTTAAGCAGGTTTAGAGACAGGTGAAGGAGGATGGAGTAGTGGTCATACAGCAGAGACTGGATATTCAGCATTGTTTGTGCAAGAAAGACTTGCAGAGGACATTGCAGGTTGCAGTGCTTTCAGTTGCTAGAAGAAATCTACAGCTTCTTAAAGAGCTGTATTTACATTTCGTGCATCATATCTACTCTGGGGTGTGGAAACAGAGACCTGTATGGAATTTTGTACGCCTAGTGAATGGATTGTCAGCTGGTGCTTTTGATGTCTCTAATGATGTCATCTACCTTCTGAAATGTAAGGCAACAACCAATTTCTACTCCTGTGCTGTGCGTAACTGGAGAGGACATGAGGAAGGAGATGGGGCAGTAGGGAACTGTTGCCCTTGAAATGGAGATCTGTCTTTCCTTGAGTGAGGCTTGGGCTAGTGGCACTCTGTCTACTGAGGTTTACTTATACACTGTATGGAAATGCATTGCCACCCCGATAGGTTAGACTTTGACTGGGGTCTGCTGTTACTGTGGGGCGTTCTTCTCCTTTTGCTTGTGTTATGACCCCTGTTAGCTTCTCAGATGCTGACATGAGTTACTTCTCTGTTAACGCTTGGGCTGACTGCTAATGTTAATGCAAAGAGGTGCTCTCTTTGTGTTCTAAAGAGTAATACCCTTCCGGCATTTTTTTGCTTTGCAAAGTAGTTCAGTTGTATGAAGACTAGGGACTGGTGTAGCTGGTCTGCAGTATCTTCTCAGTGTCTGACAGCACTGCAATGTGACACCAGGGGGATAAGGGGGGTGCTGGGTTAGAGAGGCTCTCAAAACTGTTGGCAATGATTGAACTCTCCTTTTGAAGCACATAAGCAGCCAGGATGCCTCTCCAGTGAGGCTGCTGCAAACTGGGGAGGTGCATCTTTCCCCCATCTGGCTTGAAGACGGCATTTGTGGTTAGCAGTTCTTTAAAATGGAGCCTTAAGTTTTTAATCAGGCTATAGTTTCCTTTTAACTCTTGGGGCTGTTTGCTGTTCTCATACCTGCATTCTTTCTCCTGTCCCTTATTTC